TTTCACATTCCTCTTTCATACACGTGACTAATGCCTGCAGTTCTGCCTCTGATGGTGCAATAAGCACTGCATCATCAGCATACAGCAGACAATTTACTTTTATGTCACCCAATTTCACACCCAAACAGCTATCTTTCAGCTTTTGTAAACAGCTGTCGAGATACAGTATGAACAGCCAGGAAGACATGACACAACCCTGTTTTACGCCCGTTTGGACGCTAAACATGGGTGACAGGTCATGCCCTACCCGCACACAGGCTTTACAGTCACAGTAAAGAGACTGCACAGCCCTTAGCAATCGGCCATCCACACCATACCCCGGCAACAGTTCCCACATTTTCTTCCTTACAACCTTATCAAATGCTTTCTCAAGATCCACAAAAGCACAGAAAATCTTCTGGTTAACAGCCAGAAGCTTTTCCGTGATCATACGGAGAGAAAACATTTGATCCGTGCATCCTCTTCCAGGTCTAAATCCGCATTGTGCCTCCCATAGAAATCTTTCCGATTTCTCTTGTATCCTACGTGTCAAAACCTTCGAGTAAACTTTACTTGCTAAACTGGTCAAGCTGATCGCCCGATAGCACCCGCAGTCAAAATGTGAACCTTTACCTTTATATAAAGGCACAATGACTGCGGATCGCCAATCATCCGGGACATCCCCCGTCCGCCAGCACAAATTGCACAGCAGATGAAAGCTGTCCCAGACGCGAGGCCCACCATACTTGACCATTTCAGCAGTAACTCTGTCTAGTCCCGCAGCCTTACCACATTTCAAACTTCGAATCGCACGTTCAATCTCTTTCATACTGATGACCTCAGTGTCATCGAGGTCCGGGTCTGGCGTGCCAGTCACGGCGTCATCCCCGGATCCCTCACTAAGATCATCACACGCATACATTTCTCTATAAAATTCGCTCCATCGCTGCATGACGTCCGATTTTTCTGAGAGGACGTCATTAGTTCTCGAAAGCACTTTGTTCATTCTTAAGGCCGTCGCACCACTTCGGGTCCTTCCAACCTCTTTCCAGAAGAGTTTGGAGTTCTCCTTAAAGTTGTGCGACAACCTTTCATCCGCTTCCATTCTACACCTTTCACGCACTTCCTCAATCAATGCTTTCGTGTGAACTTTCTGCAGCTTATATCTTTCTTTCATCTTCTCTCTCATATCCTTATCATTACTAGAGGCCAAGTAGTCTAACCATGCTTTCTTCTTCTTCTTTACAGCTTCTTTCACTTCATCATTCCACCATGCATCTCTTCTTTTACTACTGCCTCTTTTTATTGTTCCACACACTTCTTCCGCTGCACTTACCATTCCATCCCTAAGGTTCTGCCATGTTCTTTCTACACATTCGTTTCTGCCATCGATGGTGTCAAGCTTTTCGGCTACCCTCGCATGATATTTGTCCCTAGTATCCGCTTCCTGAAGCTTCCAGCTTCGGATGCGACAGACCGACTGTGGTTCTGTCACTGTCGTCCGGTAGCGCCAACCCGCAAACAGACCCCTAAATCTAGTAATCACCAGATAGTGATCCGTTCCCAGGTCAGCACCCCTGAACACTCGCGTATCCATAACCTGTTTTCGCAGTCGGTCATCCACCAGGAACAAATCGATCATACTTCTCTCATTCTTTCTTTCTCTAGTATACATATGGATTTTCTTGTGATTAAACATAGTGTTTGTCACAAGAAGACCCTTTTCCTTGCACACCGCCAGTATAAGCTTGCCAGCATCATTAACCCTTTTATCGCCAAACTTTCCAAGTACCGACTCGTACCCTGGTCGAGCGGTACCAACCCATCCATTCAAATCACCACATACAACAATCCTTTCGTTTCCCTTTGCCAAATCTAGAAGTTCTCTTACATTCTCCCAAAACTCCTCCAGCTCAGCCCTGGACGACGAAGCCACCGGCGCATAAACAGCCAAAAGGAATAACTTCGTCAGTCCCAATTTAAAGCGAACCCAGAGAAGTCTTGAGTTCACAAACTTATATTCAGTCATAACATCGACCAACCGAGAAGACAGCAGCACCCCCACTCCCTGGCAGGCGTTCTCGCTCTCCGGGACTCCGGACCATAGAGCAAACGCCCCGCCAGGGAGCTCTTCAGTACCACTGCCCTTCCGTTTGGTCTCCGACATACACACGACATCTAATTCTCTTTCTTTCATTATTTCGATCAACTCATTCGTCTTATCTCTCATGCCTCCTCTAACATTCCACGTGCCAACTCTGCACTCCGTCCTCCACCTTCCGCCGTGTCGGGCTGTGCGTGACGGGTGGCGGTCCCCATCGCCGCTTTGCGCGCTGCATTCCACACCAACGGGGACGAGCTGGTGTGCGTCGCCTTGGGGGGACGCCCTAACCCTCGTTGACATGGGTGCGCAGCTGAGTAGAATTGCAGCCCTGAAAAGGGCTGGCAGGGGTCGCGACGAGCACGCTTCTACAATGACCCCCTTATTAATAAATAATACAAACCTTATTACGACAGCTTAAGGTTTAAAATATTTGTTTTTTTTTTCAACAAACTGAAGTGACAAACGAGCTTACAGTCCACTTGATACTAAGTTGCCACAGCAGCCCATGGACACCTAAAATCAACTTAAAATAAAAAGGCTACAGATGTGTTGTCACATCTGAAGACTAATATGGATGGAAGAGCCTTCAGACTGGAACACGACAGAGGTACCTACCCAGACGGACTCCGAAGAGGAGTCCTACTGTCTAGAGATCAGTATCTGTTACTTTTCTACCGACTACAAACAGGAGTTGAGTACCTCCTCAATTCGACTGTATGTTATTTGTTTGGAACGAAGTTCCTTATCGGACGGTACGAATTTGGCGGATGGGGGCTAGGCGAGAAATCATGTAAGATTTTTCTGTCACATGTCATTGTAGTGTAGACGGCCTTGCCGGCTATAAGGAAGCGAGATGGAATAATATCCATCTCCGTCGCACTTTTTCTTATCTTACCATGAAAGACATATACGCTAGTAAATCATTCATTTGTATTTGTTAATCAATAATATAATATGTTTATCAATAATGATATACTACGAAATGCACTTCGTTCCAAACGAGTGTTTCACGACACTCACGCGTTTTTTTGTTGTTTTTTCATGTGTGTCACCTCATTACTTTTTTCTGGGTGAACCGATTATATGATTCTTTTTTTATTTGAAAGCTGGTGCTTCACTTGTGGTCCCATATAAATTTGATGAAGGCCTGACTAATAGTTTTAGAGTTATTCTTTATAATTTATATTGAAGTCGGTAGTACAAAATTTTAAATTATCATAACATAACATAAACACTCACGCCTGTCACCCAGAGGGGTAGGCAGAGATTATGGACTTCCATTTGGCACGATCCTGACACACCTCTCTCGCTTCCTCCAGATCCATATATATACCTACGCATACACGCTCGTCGGTTAAAGGTACTCTTGATTTGGCCCATTTTTAATATATCGCCAATTTGGTCGATAAACTTTCGCCTAGGGCGACCCTTCCCGACTATGCCGTTCAAATTATCACTATTACTTTTTACCAGTTACAGTTACTGTACTGTTGTACAGTAACTTTAACAGGTGGATATCATCTTTTCTGTTTAATCCACATGTACTTTTGCAAAATGCCATAGAATTGTAGCAATACCACTGTGATATCTTCTGTACAGTTGATAGAGTTATTACAGAAAGTAGTCGTCGGTCGAAAATCATAATTATTTTACTAACTATAATTGTTATTTCATGAAAGAACAAAGAACGCACAGCTCATTATAATCTCCTTACGTTTCAACATATTCGAAGTATCCAATCGGCTCGTCGACATTTACAAAACGGAGGATTGCACGAAATCCGTCACCATCGAGAACAAAGTACCTGAACAACCGACATGCGATATTATGACCTAACTGTGCCCTAATAAGTAACTTTTTACTTTGAAGCATTACGAGTATTATGTATAAAAGATAAATATACAATCATTTGGAAGGGTATATTTTTGTTGAAAATCTTAGACTTTTTAACTTTATAAGCACTGATTAAAAGTATGCATAAGAAAGGAATGATTTAGAAAAGGCGATTTAAATTCGTCCATTAGGATAGTTTGCTATCAACAATTTGAATCTGCAGTAATAAATAGTCATTTGCCAGCAACTGTCATATTGATTCAACCGACAAAACATTTTGCGTGTCAACCATGAAGCAAATACAAAGAGGAGACGTTGTAATTAAATTTCACTGTAACAACGCGTGACAATTTGCGGGGTGAGGGGATTTAAAGCCCCGCCCACTACACTATCTACATCTACCGATAAATAGTAAAACTACACGAATCTTTCCATATTGATGTTGCAATGTAGCTTAGCTACCTTGACGGTAGATGGCGGCAGGTCCACAAAATGTTATAAACTATAAAATATAAACTATTTTAATAAATTAGGTGTAAAAATATTTACAAATGAAATGTGATGCCATCCATAACATCAGAGCGTCTATCTGAGTAGTTTTTACACAATGAAACACAACATTTCATCCTTTTCTTCTTAATACTACGAAAATACACCGATTTGCGATTTTTTCAACACATAAGCGCACAGGACGAATGCTGACAGTATACTAACTAAAGCCACGCCCACTATGATGACGTCAGGACCTACTTAGAATCACAGTGCAAAGTTGCTTATGCCGTCTCCCCTTTGTATTAGCTTCATGGTGTCAACCGAGACAATTTTGTAGTGGTTTGTAACTTTCTTTTGGTAGACTTCACAACATAAAATAATTCGTTGATTTCATACTCTAATGATAATATTGTATTAAGTTCATATTATATTAAATAATGGAATAAAAATACAGTAGCAAAAGTACTTTTATCCTCGGGCTTTAGTTTCCTTACTTCCTTTGTATATCACGTATTGTATTTGTTGATTTAATGAAATGTCTGCCAGACAGTAATTGTTTTTACAATGTTATTAAAGAAATGAAACAGTTGGGAACGTTGTTTAAATTTTATTTTTAAATTAAATGAACACCTCCATATACAAATATAGCTTTATGTATAACAAATAAATTAACTTACTACAAAAGCATAGCCCTTTATCAGTTTACACAAAGGCAGCCCTTGCGATAATTGGAATCCAATATTAAGCAACTAGTACATTCTATTAATTTTTTAACGGATATCGATAGGTTGAGGAATTTAATTTATTTAAATTTATAAAGATTTTTTTTAAATATAAGGTAAGTTGTTATCCATGAAATAAATTATACCATGACCCTACACGGTTCAAGATTTTACATATATTCTTATAATTATTATTTATTAACCAATATTACCTCACTGCTGGAAATGGTCTCTGATTGTATTTTGATCTAATCACCATACTCGAGAGACGGATTGGCTATCACAGTAAGAAGTAAATATTTGGACGTAGTTATGCAAAAAGGATCCAATCCGCGGTAAGTTAATTTGAGTTTATGATATTTGAAGTATCCATACTTCAAATATCATAAACTTAAATTATCGGGATGATTTCGGTCTGTTTATAATTTTTCTTCTTATTTGTGTTACTTTTGCTAAAATTATTACATCACATAATAGTATAGACCACAAACATTATTTTTCAAGTCAAAATTTTTGACACAAACTCGGGTTGGGTCCTTTTTGCGTAACCACGTCCATTTTACATCTGGTATCCATGAAATACCAGTCGTGGCGATGTGAGAATATATAGTCATATCTTGCCGTGGGTGTCGGTCGAATTGAGGCGACAGAGAAAAACATACCAAGAGATCTGCAGCAGCATATTTCTAATAACTAAAAAATAAAGGACCGCGGTTGCCAACACGCCTGCCAAGCGCGGCTACCATGGCAAATATGACTCCCCCCTATGACGCGATCTATGGGGGAAGTCTATGTTCAGCAGTGGACTTTTGATATTGATAGACATGGTTTAATGTAACCTGTGTTGCCATTTACTTCATTGTTTCTGTATGATTCGTTAGTTTTAAAATACACAATTTATTTGTCCAAAATAGAAAAAATAAGCTAACAAGTGCATAGCTCGCAGTATTTTTCTACTTTCTTAGTAGTTCTTTCGTTTCTTAGTAGTACACTTTCCTTCAAAAATTTCAGTGTCTATTCTTTCCCAGAGTACATTATGCTGTATAAACCAGCTTGTTAACAGAGTAAATTATAAAATACGGCTTCTAATAATGATCCCGACATTTATTAACCGATTCGTTGCGAAACCAATTATTGAAAACTTTTAGCTGTGGCGACGAACAAATAATACGTAACACTCCTGTCGTGTCAATCACCATTAAGTTGATGACACGCGTATTTGCCTTCAGCCGTGTAAAAAAATCCTTTTTATGCTTTTTTCACTTGTTTAGACCTGATTAAGTTAAGTTGACATCAAACATCAGTTGCAATCGGAAGGATACTTTTTGTTTGAAATGGCTAACTACGTGTTTTCCTTGAAATGGAGGGTCTTTTTATGCAGATGTTACAAACCTTTTGTGCTATTTTTAGTTTTCAAAAAAAAAAGTACAGCTAAATCAGCCTGAAAAACCTTGGCTTTTATTAAATTAATTTTTTACCGAACAATAACGTTTATAAATATCAAAAAATCAAGAACCTTAATTTGGAAAAAAATGAGATTTGTGATTCATTGATATTTACAAATGTTATTATACGACGAGAATGTGACTATTCTACGATACCGAAGTTACCGCGGAGACTTCCTACTATGGTTTAGCTGTGTTGTGTGTTCTATGGAAAAAGGTAATCAGTGTTAAATTAATACTATTATGGCACGTAACATAGCAATGATTTTTGATTGTTGTAAGAATTAAATCAACAACGCAAGTATAATCTTGAGATAGAAATTGTTGACGACAAAACTCAATTGCAGGACGACGACGACGAAAAAATATTTCAAAAATTCGACGACGAAATATTTTAAATAGAATTCATTTTTTTTGCGAACTTTTTATGCTTGTATGCGTTTGAAGTCTTTCAAGCAAAAATAAACCCTATCCCATACCACAATAGTACATGGTACTTCGTAGGCACATTCGGCCACATGATAATAATAAGACATCAGTTTACCCATTTTAAGCAAAATTAAACCATAAGATATTATGTTATTTTTTAACAGAAGACATTCCAGAAACTTGTTTACAACTTGAGTTCGTGAGCGATCGCGATAAGTGCTATTGTTACTTATTAGAGTATTGTACATGATTTAAAAATCCACACAGTGTAAAAGAGTGCCCTCCACTAGTTAAAAAGGTTGTTTACCCCTAAAAATTTCAAATTCACAAAATATCCAGAAACGAAGGCTGTAGGCATGAACTACTTGCAAAATAATGAATATTTTGCTCTGGATAAATTTTCCACAAATGCAATTTGGGCTAGTTATAACGATTTTTAAAATTTACACGACGCGCGTATGACGCCACACAGAAAAAAAAATTGATGGCATGCCTGGCACCTCCGCAAAGAATCGGTTAAATAAAATCAAAATTTAAATACACAATCATATTTACATGCTATAAATATACATACAACGTAGTAAAATACTTTTTTATATTAATATGTCGAAGGTCTACAATGAATAGTTACACAAATTCAATAATAAGAAGTGGGAAATATTTATATTAATTTCAAAGTGCGAAATATTTACTAATGTTGAAAAGCCATTATTTAAGGTGGAAAATATGATCACAAAAGTAACAATTACACTTTCATAAAGTTAATTTAAGGTTGGATTTATTTGCAAATCCAAATGAAGTAACATTGTATTGAACATAATATCAGAATATTATTTTTTATCTATATCTCTTGAACTAAGACCATAACTTCGGGTTTTAAATAAACATCCTTATTTGGGCTATTATTTATTTCCTCGGCCACAGATGGGTGCCAAGCGAAAGTAAGCACTGTTGCCGGTACTAATCGTAAGTCAATAAGGGTCTTATTACCATCTTCTTCTGGTATTAATTTATGTCCTGTTGGCGTGTTAAGAACAAACGGTAAGCCGCTGTGTTCTAAGTTCTCTTGTACGAATTCGTGGATTTCATTGTAGCGCTCGTAGACTGAAAAAGTGCCCTGCGAACAAAATTATTGCTATATATTGTTTTATTGAGAAAATTATATTTAGGGGCCCATCTATTAATAACCTCATGCCTTGTGTTTTCACGCTAAGTCCCGTGCTTGGCGAATAATAAAGACACGTTTTTTGGAACTGTACTTGACTATGGTAAGTTCTATTTAAAAACAAAATGCATATAACAATAGTAGTCGCGACTTAAGTAAAAATGCGATCGGTAAGCGTTCCACCATACGCCTATTCTTTTAAATTAAGATTTTTGGCTTGGATGCTTGTCCTTTAAGCCATATCTTCATTTATATCAGTATTAAGTGGTAATAATCCTTTATAGTACACTGCTTCACAATATGTTGATGCGTCACATTACGCAGCTCTTGGAAGGTTTTGACGACAACTTCAGCTAGCAGACAGTTGGCAATAGTATCTCAAGACGCCTAAACAGACACCTTATCTTGAAATTCACATCACCATCAGAGCACTTGTTTCACCGTTTCCGCTAATAGTTCACATGCTCAGACACTTAATACACAAAATAGCACCACTTATACATTTAAAACCATTATTTAAACAATAATACAGAAACAGCAATCCGCCCCCGGTCAAGTTCCCGCCAAAACTCTACATACGCCTAAGGACATTACTACTCCATAGAGTAACTTATAGACTGTGGACACTACTCTGTGACGTGTGAGTCGAAGCGTGCGAATCGTTTCCGCTATTTACTTCAAGTCTCAACTGCATTTAACTTGCGCGCCTACTATAATTAAATGTTTTCAGATTGAAGTCGATATTGTCGCTAGGCTTGCAAACCCGAGACCTGTCACACGCACCATGCTATAACGCAAAGACTATAAGTCCAACCATATCTACAGTTAATTTCCTTTCACGTCGTATTATTTCAACTGTTTACAAAAATAGAAAAAATGCGCGGAAAATAAGCGACGAAATGAGCTATTAATTCTTTCTCTACTTAAATTTGCATCATAAAACACGTTTTAATGGGCACTGCGCTGGAGCTTGTCAAATATAGTTAAATTATTTAACTATATTTTTAACTATATGTGGTAGCATTTTTTTAAAATAAGATATCATAACAAATCAAGGATACACACCTGTAAGAGTATACCATCGGCGAAACGTATTCTGATGATGGCGAATTTATATTTTCGCATTTCTCGCATCTCATCCTTTTCGCGCATTGCTTTTGTTCGTAACATTTGGCTCTTCTCTATGGCTTCAGTTCTAAAATTCATCAAAACCTTTGAAAATAACAACTAAAAGCTATATGTATATGCGTATAGTATATGAACAATAAACTAAAATATAGTTATAAGCAAAAATAATGATAAAATCACAGCTACTTTTTTTAGAAACTTTTATTTATAGCTTTTTTATTAAAATCATAAGTTAAGTTACTACTAACAAGCCCGCCATTTTTAAACGGCTTCAAAAAAGAAAGAGGTTCTCAATTCGTCGGAATCTTTTTTTAAGTATGTTCACCGATTACTCAGACGCCTGAACCGATTTGAAAAATTCTTTTTTTTTTCTTGATTCATAGGATGTATTTCCCAGGTGGCTCCATTTAAATATTATCGAAATCGGTCGAGGGGTTTTTATAAAATGAACAATAATAACGAATCACTCGTATATTTATATTGAAGTCGTTTGTACATTTAATTTATCACTTGTAAGTAGTTCAAGATGTTACAAAACTGAATATTTTAACTTTGATAATTGCTAGTGTTCTAGTGAATTATATTTAAATAAAACATATTCAACTTTATGACCATAAACCTACTTTTAAATGAGCCACTTGGTAGAGTTCACCACATTACAAAGTGACTATTTGAAAATCTCATGGCGTGGCAGTTAAAATTTCTATTAAAGTGTAAAGATTTTTTTTCTGATTTATTACTCTTATTTTGTATTTATGGGATGCAACGTATAAATCAAACTACGGATGTTCGTGAAAGTAGTAGAATTAAATAGCAACAATAATAATGAGTAACAATTACTATAGTAATATAGATATATAGATAAAGTAGATTATGCATGTATACCGTAACTGTTGTTCCCTCTTTAATTCCTCCGGCGACAGTGCATAGAAGGACGCGGGTAACGCCATCTTATTGGCTGCTTGGGAAGGCAATAGCACTTGCAGATTCCTATCTAGCTCTAACTGTATTGGTTCGGCGGTGCGCAGGGCTTCGATTAAAATCTGAAAACAACAAAAAACTATTTATTGTTTCATAAGCAATATAATTATTAGCCGAATGCGGATCGCAGCCACCGAGCAATTTACTAGTACCCGAACTTGGCATAAACAGCTCAATAGGTCTTTTTTCTTTCAGATTCGTGTGTTGTTAATGTATAATTAAATTTATAGCGACAGTATCCTAATATAGGATGCAGACCGCGAACTCAAAGGTCGTGGATTCGAATTCGCTATTCGACTACTGTCGTGAACCGCTCCTAACAAGAATTTTATGTTTACCAGGAGTGCTTAAAAGGAATATAAATAATTTTGTAAGCATTACTAGTGTTTAAAAAAAAATACAAAAGCATTGGCTATATCATTCAGGAACAGTGTAGGTTTCTATTAGTGAAAGAATTTTTAGTATTTTTTGGAGTCTAAATTTATAGCAGTTGTTGAGAACACTACACTCAAAGTTATTGACAAGTATGTTTACCTAGGTCCTAGCTACGCAAGTCCAACTTAAACCAAGAGGCCATGGCTGAGCAGCAATTGGAAGATTATAATACATCTAATCACAATCCCCAAAACGTGAATACAAGAGTGTTACGACCAGTGCATTTTGCTAGTACTGACATTTGGATCTGAGAATTGATCCTTGACGGCTGGCATTGCAGCCTTGTTAAATTTTATTCCAATTCCTTGGTCTCGGTCGAATCTTGTTCTAAATTCTGTTAAAAGAATGTCATTATTACAATATTATTACCTTACCGTTAGACTTTCAACAGAAGGCACATTTTCCTTGTTAAACACCAAATATTCCTCTTCAACACCTTCCGGATTTGTTAAAGTTTGTTGCGTGAAGCCAGCGGCCAAGAGTAATTCCATTGCACCTTCTATTGGTTGGACCCGTTCTGAAAACGCTCTGAAAGAAGCAACTGAGTTTGATAAATAAGTTTTTATTCAACCAATACCGAAGTTCAGATTGATTTGTACAAATAATGTTCCTAGCTTTTGTAGTGGGATGTGGTTCACAGATGTATAATTCATTAATTCATACATTACAGTGTACAAAAGTCCACTGCATAATATGAGCTTCTCCTATAATAAAATTACACAACAAAACAAAAATATTTTTTGGTAAAACTCCAACGCTCATGTAATGTTTTGAATAATCAATTTACTTTTATTAATTACCGAAACACGTATTTCGTTTAAAGCTACAAAAAATTGTTTCTGTTAAATTAACAAGAAATTTTTTTGACCGCTTAATGCCAGTAATTCTAATTTTGTTACCGAAAAAAATTGTCAAAGATAGAAAGATCTTGTTCACATCCACACCGACCAACTGACGTCCAAGTGAAATTATTTTCAATTAACTTTTTTTTTTAATAATGATCGAAATAAATAATCTTATAACTACGCCAGAAGTATTAATTGATATCTCCTCTTGCTGTTGGTGTACTTTTTATTATATAAATGCAACATAAAGCTGGTGGAAGTGATTTCAGTTGGGTGGATTGAGATTTTTTGATTTGACATGTGACAGCAAAGCACTACATCTCCGCTTGGCTGTCGATGGGTGCAATATGATAAATTCAAGCTAATAAATGTGTTGTAAAATAAACAAACAAAACAAAACCTAAGCAGGCCACAACACAACTATTTAAAAATGTGGTTTCCGATCTGGATTTCAAACAGTCCCCATGATATAGTACCCAGATATTTGTCAATAATCAACAACAGCGTCAAATGTACAAGGTAGGTTAGGGTTTTTTTTTTAGAATAAGGGTGACAAACGAGCACACAGTCCACTTGATGGTAAGTGGTTACTGTGGCCCATAGACATCTACATCTACCTTCGTTTGCGAATTAAAATGCAGATGCGTTGTCAGCCGTGAGAACTAAGATAGAATGTCTCTTTTCCAGTAAAATGGGTCTCCGGTCTCCAGTAAAATGGGTCTCCGGTTCTCTACACTCACCATACGAAACACATCAGCATTATGCTGCTATTTTACGCTGGTATTCTGTGAGAGCGTGGTCCTTCCCCGGTCGAGCCGACCCATTCGTGCTACTACTATACTATTAATATGGCTGCAGCATGGCTCTACCACGTAAAAAGGTTAGGGTTATCCACCTGTCAAGCATAATCATTACGGCAAATCCTCCCTACGTAGGGATAAGTCCATTTCCAACTGGGACTTATACGGGATATAAAGAAGAAGCAACAACGACAACAAAGCGTTTAAAAATAAGTAATGATATTAAAGTTTTAAAGAACTTTTAAACTGATCAGTTATGATGATAGCAGTAAGAATATTGGGTTATAGACATGAAATGATGGTACTGTCATTGGTTCTGCATACATCTGTAAAATGCAGACGTCTGTCTGAATAATCTGGAATCGACGTTCTGGACGTGTTTCTTGAATCGTCTGACGAAGTGGATGACAACGGAATTTTAAAGATTCATTATAACATGTTATAAAGCATCGTGATTTGAATGATTTCTTAACTTTTACGTAAACACTACACATTGAATGAAAGCACAGTTTTTTTTTACGGATTTTATCTCGTCTAATGAACTTATTTTATATTTCAGATGTTTCGATTATTTTGCAGCACCCATGGTCTCGAAACGTCGTGAATATAAAATAACTTAATAAAAAGTCTAGTTTCATACGTCGTGATTGTTATCTTTATGGGGAACTATTAACGAGAACAACAAGTGCTTATATAATGAAATAAAAAAAAAACATCATGACAGTGTTATTATTATACAGATAACAGATTGGTTTTTAGTTTGATCTCTCGCTTGCTTGGGGTTTTATTATAACTACTTCTGTTTTCACTTATTTTGACCCAAGTGCAATCCGTAAGTGATTAATTCTTAATAATTATAAAAAAATGAAATGAATGAGATTCAATTCATAGTAGCAAATAGCGGGGCGGAGCATGAGTAATATATATATATATATATATATATATATATATACTAGCTGTTCCCCGCGACTTCGCCCGCGTGGAATTTTTTTGCACGGAACCCTTAAATGTAGTAAAGTTACTCCTTATACATCAACTATCTGCCAGTGAAAGTCCCATACAAATAGTTTTCAAGTGTTTTTGCGTCATAGGTGTTCAAGTCAAAATAGCTCGCAAATGACAGATTTTTTTCAGACTTTCATAACAATTATCGTTATATTTTGGCAAATTTACATAATATTTTTATGAGTTACATCTTAATGTAATTTTATTATAGGAGAAGCTCATATTAAGCTCATATATATATATATATTTATTTATTTATTTATATATATATCTATATATATACATAGTCAGGTCATTTATTCATTATGTAACCATTTATGTACCAAAATGAACTTAACAAAACATAGATTTTTATGACACTAAAGTTTATTCAAAATGACCTCCGTGATTTTGAATACAGGCTTTCAATCAGTCGTCTATCGCAGCACGAACGAGGTCCATGTCAATATCGGCGGCTGCCTTAATCAAGGATGTCTTGAGTGACTCCAAATTGGGATGAGGCTTTGAGTACGCCTTTTCCTCCAAGTGTTGCCATATCTCGTAATCTAACGGATTCAAATCTGGACTGGAGGAGGGCCAGTCTTCGTGCTGGATGAAGTCGATTTCACGCGCGGCCAGCCAGTCTGGTGTGCTCTTCGCTCTATGAGCTGGCGCCGAATCTTGTTGGAATACCCAGTGCCTGTTATTGAACATGGTATGAGAAACAGGTTCCACAAGGTTCGTCTGGACTGTATTTTGATGCACAACTGCATACGTTTTTACACCTTTCTCACAAAAATGTACCTCTGTTAAGCCCCAATAAGAAACTCCCAACCATACCATCAGCGAGGATGGAAAATGACCTCGTTGGACACGCGGAATACGGTTGCTCGCTTCTTCACTACTGTGTGCGTACACCTTATCATTTTGTTTGTTGTAGCTCTCTTCTACGGTAAAAATTTTTTCATCCGAAAAAAGAATTTCCCGATATTTTTTTCCCGCGTACCGCTTCAACAAAGCGCGGTATCTCTTCAGTGTCAGGTCCATTAGACGAGCATTCAAACGATGTCCTGTTTTTCTTCGATATGCCCGAAGCCCTAAGTCTTCATTTAACACCCTTTTCACCATGGTTCTGCTTAACCCCATTTGAAGGGCCAACAGTTTCTGCTTACGTTTGGGATTTCTTTGAATTCGCGCCTTCACAGCTTTTATCACTGCTGGAGTCCTAACAGATCGAGGGCGACCACTTCTTGACCTGTCATCTACACTAGAGTCCAGGGTTGGCTGATTTAAATCAGACTGATTTAAATCACGATTTAAATCGCCTGATTTTGATTAAAAAAATCATTGATTTAAATCAACATGTATAAATTAATGTAATAGGCAGAAAATGAAATAAAACTGGCTTAAAATAAGGTAAAATCTTTTGTTGTTTTATGTTATTCTTATTATTCTACTACAATAGTCTCATAAACTTTGGAAAATCAACAAAGACGTAGCGATGAGATCTGTCAATTTTAAAATCAATTTTTTATTTTTTAGAAATTCACTCTTAATATGTATATGAACTGTAATTAATACATTATGTATTAATTATTTTACTCTTAATCAGTCTCATACATATCTATACAAATAAATAAAATTGAAGTGTCTGTTTGTAATGTCAAAATTACGGCTTTTTACTAAATGCATATGAAAGTATATACGATACGTATAACAAAAATATTTTTTTAAAATTTTTGTCTGTCTGTCTGTTTGTTCCGGTTAATCTTTGAAACGGCTGGACCGATTTTGACGGGACTTTCACTGGCAGATAGCTGATGTCATAAGGAGTAACCTAGGCTACTTTAATTTTAGAAAAAGAATTAGGGTTCCGTGCAAAAAAAACTAAAACCCCAAATAACACGCAGGCGAAGTCGCGAGGAACAGCTAGTGTATTCATAAACTTTTAATCCTACTATGTTAAAAAGTGTTACCAACTCGTGTATTTCCAAATATACAAAAAAAATCAAAAAATTCAAAAAAAATCAAAAAAATCATGATTTTTTTTAAAAAATCAGCATGATTTGATTAAAATTAAAAAAATCATGATTTTTTCCATCCCTGCTAGAGTCTTCATTGTATCGTTTGATGGTACTATTATACGGGACCGAGGATAGACTTTTTAAAAAACTATTTTATTTACACAAAACGATATAATTGATTAGAATTAACAATAAGATTTATTTAAACTTAGGATATAGAATAACTTGAACTTAGAATATAGAAAAGATTTAGTATAGGATATAGTAACGACTTAGTAACGATGTATGAACGAGACTGAGATTGGAACGAGACTGACTGTAGAATGATTCTTGACTGATTGATGATTCCCGACTGACTTACTTGGTGTTTGTCGGGAGGTCGGTTATATAGGCTTTATGGTGCTGACGCAGCAGCGTTAAAGAGATGCGTTAACCGATCTCCTAACATTGACGGGGTATAACAGTACGATAAACGAATCTTTTGGTTATATTCAAATTTTTCAGTATGTCAAAAATTTGAATTGGCGCGTAACCGCAACGATGCAACGCAATAACTGCAACACGGTCTTCTTTAAGCGTCCACTCCATATTTAAAAATGAGTAAAATTCTAAAAAGTATACAGTTTTATTTTCATGAACAATTCGAAATTCGAATTCAATAAAGTTTTTTGTGGCCAGCATTCTAAAAGAAAAGTTTTTACTGTGTGACAATACTTATGACCTGACTAGGTATTTATATATATATATATTTATATTATGTGATATGACTATGTGAATCTAAACTATTTAGGGACCTATTCAAACACACACAAAAAATTTCATAAAAATCGGTCAAATAGTTTTTGAGTTTTAGCGAGACTAATGGAAAGCAATTGATTTTTATTTATAAAGAAGAAGATATATACGAGTACATAGAATTCAGTGGAATCTAGAGGAATCTAGACGATATTTGGCAATTTTATATTAGCCTTGACCATTGTAGAAATTTAACACAACACGACAGCCGACACAGGGGAGGAGGCATTAGTATATTCCTATGTGAAGAAATTCTGTCAGGCTGAGATGTCCAAAGGTGTAAAACATCTAGTATTGCAATCGACAATCTGTCTGGTGTTGTGTCACTTATGAAAAATCTTCCACAAACAGAGACTGCAGTGCAGAAGTGGATTGTGGTTATATATTAAAACACTTACCTGTTGGACATTCTAATTTTCTGATATTTCTCCTCTTCAGGGTATGTGACAATGTTCTCCAAATATTTGCAAAGTGTCTCAACACAAGTGTCTATCTGTAAACCCAAAGTTATATTATCAGTTTAGGTTTATAGAGTATGAAAATCTTGTGAACATAAAACCTACAGGTGGTACAAAAGGTACACATCTAAAATAAAAATATGGCAAAAAAACTCTGGTGTCATCATCATCATCATCATCATTACAGCCCTTCACAAGTCCACTGCTGAACATAGGCCTCCCCCAAAGAATGCCACAAAGCACGGTCCTGAGCCACCTGCATCCATCGACTTCCTGCATATCTTACCAGGTCGTCACTCCATCTAGTGGGGGGACGCCCTACACTTCGCCTGCCGGTACGAGGCTGCCACTCGAGAACCCTTCTTCCCCATCGGTTGTCGGTTCTTCGAGCTATATGGCCGGCCCATTGCCACTTCAGCTTACTAATCCGTTGGGCTATGTCGGTCACTCTAGTTCTACTGCGGATATCCTCATTTCTGAGTTTATCACGCAGAGAAACTCCGAGCATAGCCCTCTCCATAGCTCGCTGAGCGACCTTGAGCTTCCTCATCCGGCCAGCAGTGAAGGACCACGTCTTAGTTCCGTATGTCATCACTGGCAACACGCACTGGGTGTACAGTCTCGTTTTCAAGTTTTGAGGTATACCTGACGAGAAGATGTGCCGTAATTTCCCGAACGCTGCCCAACCGAGTTGAATCCGTCGATTGACCTCTCGGTCGAAGTTGGACTTACCTAGTCGGACTATTTGTCCCAGGTAAACATACTCGTCAACAACTTCGAGCTTAGTGTTCCCAACAACTACCGGCATAGGTGTGACATGGACATTAAACATGATCTTTGTTTTGTCCATGTTCATCTTAAGACCTATCCGTTGGGAAACACTATTGAGGTCATTGAGCATAGTGCTTAGGTCCTCCAGCGATTCTGCCATAAGGACTATATCGTCGGCAAATCGAAGGTGAGTGATGTACTCGCCATTGATGTTGATACCGTATCCTTTCCAGTCCAGAAGCTTGAAAACATCTTCCAATGCAGCGGTAAAGAGTTTCGGGGATATGACGTCACCCTGTCTTACACCTATCTGCAATTGGATAGGTTTCGTACTCTGGTTCTGTACTCGGATAGCCATCGTAGCCCTACTGTACAAGCACTTCAACACTTCGATATACCGACAGTCAACTTGGCATCGCTGAAGGGACTGCAGCACCGCCCAAATTTCGACGGAATCAAAGGCTTTCTCATAGTCCACATACGCCAGACATAGTGGCAAATTGTACTCCTCGGACTTCTGTACAATTTGCCGAAGGGTATGTATGTGGTCTATGGTGCTAAAGCCTTTTCGGAAACCGGCTTGTTCGGGAGGCTGGAAGTCGTCAAGTCTGCGCGCGAGACGATTCGTAATGACTCTCGAAAACAGCACGTAGACGCGGCTCAGAAGGGAAATCGGTCTGTAGTTCTTCAAGAGAGCGTTGTCGCCTTTCTTGAATAACAAGACCACCGCACTTCTGCTCCACGCCTCCGGTGTAATGCCACCATGAAGGACGGAATTAAAGAGCTTCTGAAGGACTTCAAGTACCGGTTTTCCACCCGCTTTCAGAAGCTCCGCTGTAATTCCATCCTCGCCTGGGGCCTTGCCGTTTTTAAGGTGCTGGAGAGCCATTCTAATCTCGCTCAGACTGACGTCCGGGATATCATCGGAATAATGTCGGATAAGACTCGCTCTTGGATCGTTACTCACACTTGCGTGCGGCTCCAACGATGACGTGTACAGCTGCCCATAGAACCTCTCAATCTCACTCAAAATCTCAGGTGCCCCGGAAACGATGCTGCCACATTCTGTCTTCAGCTTTGACAGTTGGCGCTTTCTGGCAGACAGATCTCTGGCAAAGACTTTGGAGCCTTGGTTCCGCTCGATCGCTTCTTCAATACGAGCTGTATTGAATTTGCGTAAGTCCCGCCGCATGCATTTGGAGATCTGTCTGTTCAGTTGCCTGTATGCTGTTAAATCTGTTGAAAAATGTAGCTTCATCTCCCGTCTAACAGCCATGAGATTAAGAGTGTGATCGGAGAGTTTTTGTGTTCTTCTGCGGCGGGTCTTGCAGAACTTAGCTCCGACCGCATGGACAGTTTCCACGAGCTTGTCATTCAAATCGTCCACTTCATTGCAGTTTTCTAGGCACTGAAAACGGTTTTGTAACTCGAGCTGAAAGGTTTCGGGACTTTGGATTAGAGCACGAGGGGGACGGAGCGTTGACTTCATTAGACGAGACCTCTCCAACTTAACGTTTAGGTTCAGTGTGCCTCTAACCATTCGGTGATCGCTGCCGGTTTTCACCCTCGCGATCACTGAGACATCACTGAACAGTTGTCGTCTGGTCGTCATAATGAAGTCAATCTCATTTTTTGTCGAACCGTCGGGGCTCGACCAGGTCCACTTCCTGTGGGGCCGCTTCTGGAAGAAAGAGTTCATCATAAAGAGTCCCTCTTTCTCCATGAAGTCGGCCAGCTGCTGGCCCCTTGGGTTCCGTTGCCCTATTCCAAATTTCCCTACTTTCAGCTCACCGTTCTCTCTTGTGCCTAGTTTTGCATTGAAGTCTCCCATTAACACCGTATATTGGGTTTTGGAGGAATGCATGGCTCTAGAGATATCCTCATACATTTCCTCCACCTCCTGATCGGGGTGTGCCGAGGTTGGTGCGTAAACCTGTATGACCTTCAGCGAATACCGTTTGGTGATTCTGAGTATAAGGTACGCAACCCTCGTCGACACACTCTCAATCTTTACAACGTTGTTAACGAGAGACTTGTGGACGATAAATCCGACACCTCCTTGGGACAGATGGTCGCCCTCCCGGTAATAGAGCAAGTTGCCGGATTCGAGGATTACCGTGTCCTCCCCCTCTCTTCGGACTTCGGATAATCCTATAATATGCCAGCGTAACTTGTCTATCTCTTCTTCCAGCTCCACAATCTTCTCGTCAGTCCTCAGGGTGCGTGCGTTGTATGTTGCCAGGTCGAGTCGTCGTAGGTGGCAACCGAACCTCCACCGGAGATTCTTAGCACCCATTGGTGTCATCATTTACTTCAAATTTTTTTTTAATATAATCTTAGAGACAAACTGATACTAAATGGCTACTGCAGCAAATCAATCAATCAAAGACCCATCAACATTGCCACTCCAGAGGACATAGCTGAAATTCATAGCCTGTAATAGTACTGGTTCTTATACTTTATAATTTAAAATTAATAATTTTGTACAACCGACATTAATATAAATTATTAAGAATAACTCAAAAAGTATTGGTCAGACCTTGTTTAAATTTATATGGGACCGTATGAGAAGCACCAGCTTTAAAATAAAAAAAAAGAATCATATAATCGGTTCAACCAGAAAAAAGTTATGAGATAACACATAAAAAAAAACATACAGTCGAATTGAGTACCGTCTCCTTTTTGAAGTCGGTAGAAAATGTTGCACAGCATGGGTGTACCGCTGTTTAGCGGAAATAGGTAACCAACCTAGACGGCCTCTTCTACTAGGAGCCCTAGCATCTAGGCAAGTGCTTTTCTTTTTCGTCAGCACATAGGCAAACAGCATTGCCCGTCGGGGGCCCTTAAGCTAAACTGTAAAATGTTCTAGCTAAAGTGCTGATCGCGCTGTGTACGGTTGCGTCGCACATTTACATTTATTTAATATTTTAAAAATTGCGTCTCTTTTTATTTATAAACGCATAAAATATGGTTTATAATATTTGTCGCCCTTAATCTATAAAAAAACAAAAAAAATATAGCAATATATTTGCCACATATGGATTAAGGGATAATAGGTAAAAAACGACTACTAAGTATAGCAAGAATAGCTAGTGTATATATATATGTATATATGTATGTATATACTAGCTGTGCCCGCGGCGTAGCTCGCGTATATAGGTTTTACTTTAAAGAATTTGACGTTTAGGTAAGGGAATATTAAACAATTTATATCATTACTGTATGAATAAGTGGTAACAAAATAAATCGTTATGCTCAAAGTTCTGAGTCGTTTGTGATAGAACTTCTGTGTAAACGACGTTAGAAGTAGACAGCCGGTGCGTACAGAAAAATGTTACGGGAGCTACTAACGAGTAAAAAGCAACATAGAGTTGGCCATGTGCAAAACAATCAGTACTGAGGTCCACTCCTGGAACGCGTTTGACTTTACGCTTTATTTACGGTCATCGGTCATCGTATAACACACGCTGACTGGAAAGTGGGAACAGAACACGCTTAAAACTGAAAGGAAAGTTATTTGATATAAGATGGATTCTTGGTATAAAACAACATCATGACATTTTGTTTTTGTTGCAATTTTGCTACGTTTAGCTTGGGCGTACGTATCTTTTTTCTGGTTTCTGTTTCTGATGACGTTTGTGCTGTTAGCCTACACCATAGACGGCTCTTTTAGCTTAAATGGACTCGTTAACGTAAATTACTTCAGTGAGTCTCAACTCTCAATACGATTCACCGGTGAAAAATATTAATACCGCAATTCAGAAAAAGTTGTAATTTGTACAAAGCCATCTATAACGTTCTTTGTGAGGAAACATCGTTTTTAAAAATTTAAGGAAAACATATTTTTTTGTTTACTGTGTTTTAAGTATCAATATATTATAATAGAACGTTTTTTTTTACACACGACTAATTTTATTACTATTTCTGAGATTTTATGGCACCTTTAAATAAATCGAACCTACATTTCAAAATAATAATCATAACTTTCGATAGAATTAACCAATTTTAATAAAACAAAGATTAAATGAACTGGAAGATACGCTTTATGATTTTCTTAACGATTTCTAAAAAAAAAAGGATGTTTACTTAAGACGTCATGCGTTCATAAACAAACAGACAGATAGACAGACAATTCTAAACATCATAAAAATGTACTTATTTAATGAATTTCAGTCTCCATAATGATTTTAGTCACAAATTAATATACCATACAATGTACAAAAACAGACACAGCATGTTATCACCGCATGTATAGAGATTTAAAAATAGATGGCGCTGTTAAAATAAATTCTAAAAATAAAAGATTAATTGACGCGATTGATACAATAAAAAAACATAAAAGAACTTATAAATCAGCCCTGCATCGTAAGCAAAAAAGAAAGTTTGATCCTCGCCGAAACCAACGAAATTGTTAATAGCTCTTTTAAAATTTGATTTACCACGTAGAGTACTCGGCGGTAAAGAATAAATGAGATTGTCAACACACATTAGGGTAGCGAGTAATATAAAGATTAACAGTAAATATGAAAACTCATCTACAGGAAAAAATCACAACCTGCCTTTTTGTATTACATTTATGCAACACCACCATCTATTGATGAAATGGGTTAACTATTGTACTTTAGATTTAGATAATAAGGTTAATATATTTTTTTATATATTTATTACGTTCTTTATGTAATACTTTTGTTTACTGCGTTTTAGATATAATTATATTATTATAGAACATTATTTTACATTATTTAATTATGATTTATAATATGATACTAGTTTAAAATGTACTTGATGACTCAACGAACGCTACCATTGAACAAATTCGTACCTATACTTCGTAGCCATACTTCAAAATATCTATCATAACTTTTGATGGAATGAACTAATTTTAATGAAATAAGGACTAAATGTAACCTGAAGATATACTTTATAATTTCTTTAACAATTCTTATGATATAAATTGATACTTTATATGTGATACGTTAACAAACAAACAGACAGACAGAAAATTCTAAAAATGGTAGAAATGTATTTAATTACTTATTTTTAGTACCTCTCAATCACTTTTATTATATAAATCTTAAATGTACAGACATCGGCTATTTACATTTTTATTATATGTATAGATAATGAAATACCTTTTCCTTGTTGTTATTACAGGATTGTATAATAAGGCAGGCTGTCAATCCCCTTTCCTCTTCTAACTGCTCATACAAAAATGTCTTAATATTTTTCTTCCATTCATCTCTTGGCAAAATGTCATTACTTATAAGCGGACATCTAAAATAATAATAATATAATTAAAAATTGAAAATTTTGTACAGCCGACTTCAATATAAGTTATTAAGAATAACTCAAAAACTATTGGTCTGACCTTGATCAAATTCATATGGAACCATACGAGAAGTATCAGATTTCATATAAAAAAAGAATCATCGAAATCGGTTCACCCAGTAAAAAGTTGAGGTAGCACACATAAAAAAAACAATAAAAATACAGTGGAATTGAGGACCGTCTCCTTTTTGGAAGTCGGCAGAAAACAATATAGGTCCTCTAGAGGATTAGATCAAAGTCATAATCAAAAACCATAGCCAGATTAAGCCAAAAAGGTAAATCTCTGTAGAAAACTTTAACTGAACATGTTAAGAATTGCTTCGTTATTGTAAAGAGAGAGGCTGCTTAAAAATTACATCTTCTATATTTCCACAGCAAGTGTAGCCTTATTTACAAGTTACTATTAATAGAAAAAAATATTAAACTAAATTAAGTATTTAAAAATTAAATTTGCCTTTTAGGTAAATCTGGCCCTACCCTGTTAATTAAGTAAACAGACACATTTTTTCTATTTTACAAAATGTTAACTTCACTGTTAGAATTTCTCCTTTGTCATGAGGGTATTTTACAAATTGTGCATGCAAACAACAAAATTTATACAATATTGGCTTTTATAATGCCTTTTGAAAGTCAAATGCTACATCCTCACTTCAACAAATCCCTACTGTGGGAGACTTTGTGAGAAGTGGTGTGGTGGCTATAGAAGCCTAAATCACTCTATCAAAGTTCAGAAGTTAACAAGCTTAATATAGACCAACTCCGAAATAACACATGGAGCGTTGGTCGCTCACAGGGCAGAAAACGTTTGCCCGGCGGGAGAGCTCCCCTTTTCCTTTTACGGCCAAACTGGTGACCAACCAAATAACCTTCGAAAAATACAACTTTTAAGCCTTCATTATTATCCTCAAGAATCTCTACCATTCAATACCAAGAATCATGTTCTGCAGGAAACTCCATGCATTCTTATCATTTAAATAGGTCATCTAATACTCATAATATCCTTTCTCCATAAGAATGCTTTTTACATGCGCTTTGAATTTATGCAAAGGCAAATCAGTAATATTACAGGGAATCTTGGGGTGGGATTTAGAATCGTTTGGCAGGAATTTGAGGGAGTAAGGTATTTATTTGGTAGAGGTTTGGTCCCCGATTATAGCAATAACATTCACATTAAAATATAATGCACCAATTTTGAGAATAAAAAATAAACTATTAAAACCTAAAATGTGTAATATTACTGTGAAAGCTAGATAGCAAATGAAATTTTGTGTAAGTGCAACAAGGAGGTAAGACCATTTCAAAGACTAATGTCACATTATTATACTTCTATGGTGTTTTTATTCTTCGATGGTCTATGTTTTCTGTCAAGTGTCAAATCGCATGACATACAAAATTTTATGCATCTTGTTATAAAAAGTTATACATATAATCACGCCTCTTTCCCGTAGGGGTAGGCAGAGACCACTTCTTTCCACTTGCTACAATTCTTACATACTTGTTTCGCTTCGTCCACTTTCATTATTCCCTTCATACATGCTCTCCGGTTTAGGGTACTCTTGACCTGGCCTTTTTTCCAGACGTCCCTGAATTGGTCTTGAAATGTCCGCCTAGGTCTACCCCTTCCAACACTATCATTCACACTCGCCTTATACACTTTTTTCGTCAATTGTTCTTCATTCATTCTCTCTACATGGCCAAACCATCTCAGCATACTTTTCTCAATTTTTGTCACTACATCTTCTTTCAGACCACAACATTTCCTTATCTCACTATTTCTTATCCTGTCACTCAGTTTAACTCCTATCATACTTCTTAATGCTCTCATCTCAACTGCATTTATTCTGCTTTCATGTTTCTTCTACCATACCCAACTTTCACTTCCGTACATGAGTGTCGGAACCAACACATGCACATCCAAACGAGCCTTGTTAGACACATTCCGACTGCTCATAAAGGAGTGCAAAGCTCCATTCACCATGTTTCGTGCATTCACCCTTCTTTCTATATCACTCGCACACTTTCCATCTCTTGTAAACTTTGAACCCAGATACACAAACTCCTTATAAATAGTTATACAAGTACCCAAAAATGAGCTGCCAGATAGTATAGTTAGTTTAGCTTACAACGGGCTGTTTTCTGTAACTCTTTGGCTAAGCGTGTATTTTGCGTGTGGGCAGGAATATTGTGATTATTCGAGCCATGAAATTTTCCTAAAGAAGTTCAACAGTCCTTTGATATTTTATGGAGTTTGAACTTGAAAGAACTGATTAGTCTGTGCTGCCACTTTTGAAACTTCCTAAATTGTATTTTGGTTTCTAGAACTGGTGTACTATGTCACATTTAACAGTAATCAAAAAAATTAGGTAAAGTCATATCGACATACTTTATCTTACTAACTAAATTATTATTTCAAATTATAGCTCTTACACAATAAAAATAGAATACTTTGAAAAACAATACTTGGCCATAATAATAATGAATATTATGCCAAAAACTACATACTTGAAGTAAACACCTGACGCAGCATAATTCCTGGGAACATCAACTTCATTTTCTACAGGCTTTGCTCTCTCTATGTTTGAAGGCACCTTTTCAGTTTCACCAGCTTTTTCATTTTCTAATTCCTTTTTAACTTGTGCCTATAAAATTAATAGCTTACTTTATGGACTTATATAATAAACATTTAAAACAATTACCATTTTTAGGTAATTTTCCAAAAAAAAAAATTACTTATTTTGAAAATAAATTTGTCTTTTCATAATTCAAAAACTATCATTACTATGACTTACTTTAATGGCAGCAAGAGAAGTATTAAATGAAGGGTTATCTCTTTTCTGTTGTAACCTAGCGAGTGCTGCTTCAGCTGCGACTTTGCTCTCTTCTGACAACCCTGATCTTTTTACAACTGGAACTTCTTTTTTTGACGAGTTACAGCTCTGATTACTTATTGTAGACTCGGTCAATTTATACCCCGGGCCTGCTAACTTGAATTTAGCATCAGCCTTCTTCTTTTGGAAAAACTTTTTAATTTTTTCAGCCATTTTAGATTCTAGGTGTGTGCTCTTTAGGTAACTTTAATTTGGATACACTTTCTTTAAGTTGTTCTATAGTAGCTGATGTAGCTGTAATCATGATATTTTTAACTATATTGGCAATATAATTGTTGCTAATAAAAAACATATCTTTTTTATTTTTTTTTAAAGAAATAAACATAAACATTTATAATGTTTATTTAATTATAAATATTCTACTGTTTGTTTAGATCAAGGACAGGGAAATCGAGGCTTGGGTCACCTTAGATTTAACATGGTAGAACTCAATTAACATGTATAAAAACACTTTATCTAATATATATAACTAATTTCTGAAGGTATTATTAGTGCAAAATTATCCATGACAAATACCTAATTTTTCAGCCCCTTTTCTCTCTAAAAAGTTATTTCATTAGAGGAATAAGATGATTGATTAACATCTTGCACATAATATATATGTAGACTGGTTTGAAAAAAAAGAGGTGAATTTTGATAATGTAAATAGTAAACAATTCAGTTTGTTTATTACACCAAACTCATACCATATCAAATTCTATTTCATCACAAATGTTGAATTATTTCACTTAAAAATATTGCACTTTCTACAAACCTCTAGTATGAACTAAATTTATATATCACATACACACACATTATAAATAGTACCTACCAAATAATATAAATGCTTAAAAAACCATTAACCTCTCAGTGAAACTTATAGCTTACAAAATTATAATTTTTGTAGTTAAGTGTTTGATGTTTTATAGGAGTAAATAAACAAAACCTTGATTATAGAACATAGCACCACTATTCAGCAAATCACATTTTAATAATACACTGAACAGTTTTAAGAGTGAATTTGCTAGATAAAATATATTTAAACGTAGTGATTTTACACTCGTTGATAATATATAAATTGGATATAGGACTTACCTGGGTTCATAAACCTTTCAGATATGCGTGTTCCGTAAACACGCCAGGAAATAAAAATCAATAACAAAGTAAACAATAATATCACAAAAAAAGTTTTAAGCAAGAGAAATTGGAACTCGTTAAAATAAATGACCTCGGCTATATCGTCGTAGAAAGATAGTACACTTAAATTTACGAGCGTTTTTGGAAAATTTTCAACCGGCAGCGAGGATACACACGATCCAAAAAAATCTTTAGCGAAGGCTAAAGTATCTTCTATCTGAAGATACAAAGCCTCATAGAGAGTTGAATTAAAAACAGCGGTGTCAAACAAAGACATTACACATGTAAATTAAGAAGTTCAAAGCAAATTTTACGTGAAAAATAAAATGTTAATCATACTTTGTTACGACTTACGACATGTCACAGCTTCGTTTCGTATAGACATTGACACATTGACAGTTGCAAACATTATTGCCATTTTTAAATAAATATTTTTGACTTGGACGCTAGGGTCTTTTAAGTCTTCATTTCATTCGAGATCTTCTTTCTTAACGAAATTCTAATATCTTACGAAGGAATTAGTTTGTTGTTTGGAACGCTGAACTTTGTGACTCGAGAAGAGATCGCGTTCGTTCCCTGTTTGTAATTTGGTGCTAAATGAACCCGCAACATTGAATATTGAACTTTGAACGACTGTTCGTTACTTGTGTCGGGTGTCACGTGTTTGATTTCGATGAACGTTGAATTGGTTGACTTTGAAGTTGATTATATGTACAATAAAGTTGATAGACTGAAATAGTGAAACGAAGGCAGAAATTTTCCATGGATGATCCACGACTGGAGGGAGCGCGCACTGGGAGAGCATCAGCTCCGGTGGATTTTTTGTCCGATTAAATCGGGCCGTCAGGTCACATATATAAACACTACTACACACTACTTACATGCACCTCACTTACCACCTGACTGCTACCCGGTGATCAACCCTACCTCCTGAAATAGGTAAGTACTTAGCTTGCTTATTTGTCAGCCGTTTTTTTGGTACGTATATCCATAGGCCATTGGGCCCCGTCCTCTGTTGCCCGTCGATTGGATTACTGATGGGCCCTAGTGCAGTCAACCTTGTCGGGGCAACTCAGGGCGTGTACAAAAACAAAGCAACTAAATACATGAACTGTGGACCACACAATATAGAGAAAACATCTAGTTATAGGAGTACTTTGACTTACTTTTGAATAAACTGATTGCGGTATTACGTTGGTAGTTGGTACCTATTCTGTTTTGAAAATGCAATGGTCGCAAACATTCAATGCGTGTAATACTAAACTGATTTTAATGAAATTTTGCATTAAGGTGTAAGTTCATCTACAGTATTTTATCTTCTCATATCGGACTTTTATTCCCACGGAGCGTGATATAACAGAAATTAAAAAAAAAAAAACAGAAAGTAAAGGTTACTGATAAATAAATAACATGACAAGAAAAATATGGAGTAATAAATATAGAGAGAATAAGAAATATATAACAATAAAGACTACTGGTGGCTTCGACGTGTCGATTTGTGATTTGTGTACATCGCGATGCGGAACAAAGCGGCCGTCCTTACCGTAAAACACCACTTTACTCATCAATATTTCAGTCATTTTTAAAGGTAGAAAAAAAATAAGAATACCGTTGAATTCGTAATTTTTTAAACAATTTTTTGATACCCTTAATAAAATTGGGTGGCCAGACCCATTGTTTCGCAAATAATCTTGATAATGTTCAGTAATTTAATAATAAATAGGCAGCTTATATGAGTTTGCATAATATACATTCAATCCGCAAAATACTTCTTAATTGATCAGCAAGATTCACGATTGGTTAGCAAAGAATCTGCTTATAGACATATTCTATAAGCAGATACCTAAATTTAACCAAGTACTGCGGCTAGCAGTAGTTAGTTAAATTTGGGTGTAATGTTAAATTTGTAAAAAATGTTACGGTTAAAATGCAAAATGCGGTTACACCTAGCTCTAGCCGGCTAGAAATAGGTGCGGCCAGCATTAGTTGGTTAAATTTAGGTGTACTGTTTAATTTGTAATAATACGGAAATACGTATCAAGTAATATTAGCGACAGCAAGTCAAGGTGCGGCTGGGGGGGGGGGGGGGGGCACTTGGGCTACCCCAAAGCCGCGTAATTTTTTTAAATGATAATAATAATCTTTCTTATTTTTATTTGCTTACCCTCCAAGTGCTTATCAAATCTTTATAAACACGAGTCACTCATATATAATTAATATGCTGGACTAAAAAATTTACAGCCGTCCAGAATGTCAAAAATTGCCGATTGATTTAATAATGTTTGCTAGCCATGGTTTGCTGACCAATTATCTATTTCTGCTGCTAGATTACATTTCTCTGCTGACAAAAACATGAATACTATGCTAATCCTTTAAATAACTCCCATAAATTACTTATTTAATAAGTTAATTATTTTGTCTAAGATACTTGTCTATTGATTTAGTCTAGTTGCGAGTACTCAAGTCAAGAAGTCGGTTTTTGCCTTGAACGTAACTGATTTGAGAATCTCCTTTATTGGTATAAATATAGTGCATAGAAGATTAAATTAATGAATTAAGATCAGGACCCTTCGATTATAAATCGAGATGTAGGGTGTAGGTGCATATGTTGGGCCAAATTGCCTATGTTGGTATCATCAGTGGGACTGTATTTTCACATGTTTTCATTGGTCACCCTCACCCTTACTGTGTTGTGCACTTTTGCTATGAAATAATATATAATTGATGAAGTGACACTTGATTAAACATGTAGTAAGTCGATGGATGCAGGTGGCTCAGGACTGTTTTTATAGGTACCGATCAATCTTCAGCATTGAACTTGTTAAGGGTTGTTAAAGTGAAATTTTGTGAGAGTAAAATAGGAAAAGAAACATATATTGGGAACTATAAACAGAAATTAGAATTATGTTATTTATCCATTAGTTAATATGCTCTTCTGTTAATAAATGTTGATATCCAGATGATCGGGAGTTATCAACTAGCCTGATTAGGAAATCCGAAGAGTATATAAATCAATATGCTTAATGGAAGCATTCACTCGTCCTAAACCACTCCCGATGCTGTTGGATACGACATTTACGTGATAAGAATGGAGTTAGGCTAGAATGCTATATATTGTACAGACCAAAAATTTGTATCTCTCGAGAAAATATTGAATACTCTTGGAATTCGAGTCCGTAATACCTGATATAGTACAATAGACCGAGACCGGTAGTAAATATTTTGAACCTAATCCAATGATTCGTCAATGAAACGAAAACTGTAAATATCTATTGGCTCAAAGTCATAATTTTTGGCAGTAATGTTAAACGGAAAATTTTGGAACTCCATCTTAGTCCTCAGGAGTGACAACGCATCTGCATTTTTATTCTTATTTGAAGATGAATATATTAATATATTGTCACCCTCACTATAAAAAGGTAGCTTTCCTCTCTTTGTCAATGTTTCTTAATTCACTGCTGGATTTACTTATGCATTTTTAAGAATATGTATGACTTTTATTTATTGACTATGAACTTGAAAGACTTGCCTACTGCAGAGGTCAGTTCGCGGGCACAACGTCACACTGCTAGTTAGTTTCCATTACCAATTTGTAAGATTTTGGTCTTCTTCAGTCACTCAGCAGAGTTTGGTAGGTAAATGTTCTAAAACATAGTGGCGTTGATACATCCTCCTTAATGTACCGTGGAATTCGCTTCACCTGTTTTCAGGAAGTGATTACACTAAACTTACTTTTATTAATGACCAGCCCGCCCCGGCTTCGCCTGGGTGGGGTCTAATGTTGCGTTATTTAGCTTTAAAATAATCATCAAAGTCCATATATTTTATCAATTTTGATTAAAAAATTCTCCAAAATTTTTTGATAAAATATAGCCTAGATAACTCTCGGCGTTGCTCGCCTATTCGTATATCTATTCGTGAAGTTTCACTACAATCAGATTAGCCATTACGATGATTAGCCCGGACAGACAGACAGACAGACAGACAAAGATATTTAATTCACCCTTAAAGTCACCCTATACTATAAAAAAATGTACAGACGTATGTATTGCAGCGTGCTGGCGGCGTACGATAAATTATCACCCCTTAAGATTAAATATGGGGTATATTTTACTTTTTTTTTTCTCTTTATTTATTTAGGGATTTTTATTTGTTAATATGTCAATCCCATTATAACTAATTTAAAATCTATACATTTATTATTAATCTGCACATACTCAATGCAATATCCGAGGTGGGGGCATGTAGAATGCCTTGCGCAATACCCATATTGTACATATTTATCTTATAGGTCCTTATAAATAATTCCCTTGCCCCTCGGTTCCGCTCACATTCCATTAAAAAATGATGTAAGTCTTCTATTACTCCACACGTTTCACAATTAGGTGAATCAGTTTTTTTCATCAGATAAGAAAATTTTTTTGATGGGATGTGACCTGTTCTTATTCTAAACATTATTTTAATAATATTTCTATTTATTTTTGTATCTATAAACCAGGGTATTCGGGGTGGCTCACTCTGTATCGTTTTGTACCAAATACCTTTAGTTTTGGAGCGTTCATTGAAAAACTCTTTCCATTCGGTATGACATAAATTTCTGAATTTTGGCAGTACTTCTGAGTAACAGGGGTTAATATTATACTCTACACCATTTACACAAGCAGAATTCGCTAATCTATCTGCCTCCTCATTACCCAATAGACCAATGTGTGATGGAATCCATTGCACTTTTGCACAGATATCGCGTAGACTGAACTCATATAGTTGGGAAAGTATGGTATAGGCTATCGAAACATCTCTGATTCCAGAGGCGGATCGAGCCAAGTGTTGGATAGCAGTTTTGCTGTCCGAGTATACAATAATTTTGTCCCAGTTATAGCTTGCGGCATACCTTAGGGCTTCGGATATTGCAATGAGTTCAAGGGTCATAATACAAACGTCATTAGTAACTTTATAACATCTAGAAATTGCTCGAGATGAGTCGAAAAAAGCTGCTCCTTGCACTCTTTGATCCATCTGTGTAGATTTTATGCCAATCGTGGTATTTATTTTCAAGTTCTTCAATAATATTTAGTTTAAGAGAATTTTTTTCATATAATTTTTTGGATTGTTTTACAGACTCTAATTTACTTAATAATATATTTTCAATATCAATGCGGGACAACCAAGTGCTAAGCGAAAATGATTCGAGAAAAGGGGATGATTGTATATTCATAATTTTAGTCTTATTATAAGATTTAACTAATAGTGGGATTTTCTTGCGTTGCCAATATCTTGTTTCACAGAGAGTGCTAAGTTGCTTTAAAGAATTAATTGTAACATTATTGGAAAAAGAGCTGGCTTTTAAAACATATTTATAAGCTAGATATAGTCTTCTAATATG